CACGGCAATCGGGTAACCAGATGAAACAGAAATTCTGCCCATGATGGTTTCGGGTGTGTAGACCAATGCTGACTTGCCTATAAAGGGCATCATACGATGTCATGTATCTCTGTAGAGAGCCACTTACAGCATAGGCATCCTCACACACAACAACACACCATGAAGAAACCTCCAGCGACATGCGTTCCCAAGGAACCGGCCAATGAGGGAACCAGTCGCGGCCTGGCGAATGTGTGCCCTAGCAAGCAGTTTGGGCGCTAACGGCCCGAAAGATACCACAAATAGCAGTAACACAACCGCACACTCAGTTTCAGGCCCCCATTGCAAATGTCTGAGTCTGCAGTATATCAGTTGTCAGTTGTGCTTTGCTCCGGCAGCGTCGTTACATCTATTTTCGACCAGCTGACGTCATGCTGTAATAGAAAATCACTAACACATCGGGTCGGTCTGTCGTGCTACCAGATCATTTTGGACCGCGGGACATTGCTGCAATCCTGAACCCGTGCGGGGCCAGAGGTGTGTCTGAGAGAACGATGCTTCGTTGCTTTGTGTCGTGCCCTTTCCATCTCGCAGCTTGGCAGCTGGCTTCTTTTGCGCAGATCCCTCAGAGAGACCCAACATTGGCATCCTTCTACCAAAAAATTGCCGATGCTCACCTACAATCCGCCCGAGACAGCGAACCCTCGACCCCACAAAGTTTCGTGCTAGTGAACCTCCAAATTAGCAAAAGAAGAAGTCTTATTATTAGCTGTTTTATTAGTAGTAGTACTAGTAGTAGTAGTAGAAGTAGTAGTAGTAGTAGTAGTAGTAGTAGTAGTAGTAGTAGTAGTAGTAGTAGTAGTAGTAGTAGTAGTAGTAGTTAGTAGCAGCAGTAGCCGTTACTAGTACTGAGAAGAAGAAGACGAAGCACTAGTAAGTCGTAGCAGGGACGAGACTACGTTGAGGGGTTTAGGGTTTAGGGTTTAGGATATAGGCTTACTACAGGATTCGGGCCTTGCGGCGAAGGGTCATGCCGCTCACTTCACTCCTGCCCTCAATTACTCCCAATCCTACAACTACAATCCTACCTGCCCTAGCTCGATTTTCTCGGCGGCGAAGGGTCATGCCGCATACATCTACTTGCGCTATCTTGATTTCCTAAGCGGTAAAGGCTCCACATACATCTAGTTACAACGAGAAGAACCGGGCACCTCGCATCGTCCTCCGAAGTAAGACAAGCTCGTGTTGATCGGCCTGAGCGGGCGGCTGAAGAACTTCTTGGGGAAAACACATACGGTTTTCCAGCTGGACATCCTTCCTGATGTCCCTTGGAAAATGTCTTGCTTTCAGTCTCTCCCAAATACGAAAAGCAGATCAGAACAACGGACTGGTATGGGCCACGAATGCCATCATCTGCAGCCTCTGGATGATTAAGCAGCCCGGGAGATATCTTCCGTCCATTACTTCGGTACTCCATGCGGCTTCATGTACCCTACTCTGAGTTGGAAGCTTTGCTTATGACACTTACCTGGCTCTACAAGCCGGACTTTTCGGCTTGGGACAGATACCAATCATAATATCGTTTAGAACATGTGCCGGGAGGATGACGAGCAAATCCAGAACTTGACTCGGAAGCAGGAAGATGCAAAGGCTAAGCACCGCAAGCGCGAGGGACAGAATGCTGAATCCTGAGGAATGTCTTAGCTGGCGTGTGTTCAGATCGCTGTATTATCAGGGCGATGTGTCGAAGACAAAGGCGGCTGCTGTCAGGACATGCAGAATGGTCAGGAGGTCTTACTCATCTACTTCTATCCATCTCAGTCTCTTACATAGAGACCTGAGTTGAGAACTGAAACGACAAGACCAGCAACCCGAGTCATACTATAGCCAGAGCAGTTCAAGTCTTGATGGACCTGGAGGACCTAACATCTTCGGGAATTAATGCATGGAAGGCTGCCGTGGAAGTCCAAATTGTACACCCTTGATATCACCACTGTCACTGCAAAAATTCCAAGTCGCCCGCCTGCAAAGCTGGCGATCACAACCTGCGAGCAAAGATGGACAGGGATGGGGCAAGTTTCGGGTTGTCACCTCACGAGGCTACATCGCATCGAATGCAAAGGCGGGCCCGACCTGGAGCTCCGGCCATGTGGCAGGCCCCAGCCTCAAGACCAGGCAAAGTGCCGTGCCATGCACGGACCAGAACTGCAATGCACGAAAAGCGGCATACAAGAAGAACCGGGCAGCTCGCATCGTCCTCCGAAGTCAGACCTGGGGGCACAACAGTTTGCAGGTCACTTGGCAAAAATGACAAGGATTCATGAAGCAAATAGCAGAACGCACCCAACAACCTTTGTTTTATACAGTGCCGTGCCCAAGCCTTAGAAATCTTGCCATCGCTTCTGATGGCCTTGAAGCCAGAACGTCTTGCATGGATCTTCACTATATGATGCAGCTGATCTTGCACGAGAAAGCTGTCACCTCCGGTGGCGTCATCACCCCAGGTTACCACTGACCCATACGCTTGAATAGCCGCAAAAGCTCCTGCAGATGAGGACACTTCGAGGACGTTAATGTATGATCCAGGCCCAGGCCACGTTCTCACCACTCCGTTGGCCATAATGGCTGCAAAATTGGTGTTAGTGGCCGCTATAGATTCAACATGATTCAGGTAATCGACGACATCGAAGCTGTCACCTCCAGAATCAGCATCGCCCCAGGTGACAACTTTTCCATCAGCAGTCAGTGCTGCAAACGCCCATTTGGTGGCTTGAATGGCCGTGATTTGGCGAAGCTGCGGCTGGACAGCAGAGCTATCACCACCGCGGGCAGCATCACCCCAAGTGATCACAGTTCCATCCGAACGCAGAGCAGCGAAGGCAACCGCATTTGCTTGGATCTTCTTGACATTGACAAGCGAGAGCCGGACCGCTGTGCTGTCGCCGCCATGGTCAGCATCGCCCCAGGTCAGGACGGATCTGTCGGCCGTAATGGCAGCAAAAGCACTACCAGTTGCCTGGATCTGCGCCAGATTCCGAAACTGGTCCCGGACAAGGCGGCTGTCGCCGCCGAAATTTGCATTGCCCCAGGTAACAACAAAGCCAGTAGCAAGGATCGCTGCAAAAGCTTGGTGAGTTGCCTGCAGCTCCTTCACACCACGCAACTCATGTTGCACTAGCTGACTGTCACCACCCATGCCTGCATCTCCCCAGGTCACAACAGAGCCGTCGCCAAGAATGGCGGCAAAGGCTCCGTCCGTTGCTTGGACCTCTTTCACATCCTTTAGCTGGTGCTGCACACCACTGCTGTCACCACCACACCAAGCTAAACCCAGGGTCACGACGGATCCATCGCTGTGAATGGCGGCCACAGCACCGTCGCAGCCTGCGTACTGCAGACGGGTTGACATCGTCATGGCTCGAGCCTTGCGTTTCGGCGCTCATGCTCGGACAAGTTAGGCGAGGTTGCTGGGAATCTTTAGGGTTTAGGGCCGTTTCAAAGCTGAACGTAGATCCTTTCGCATGAATCCCTTGCAGGCCTGAATCCCTAAACCCTCAATTGTCAAACAAACCCGGGACCCTAATGCCCTTGCCCTTCAATAATAACCTACGAACATTCAAGTCAAATTCCCTCAACTCAACAACACCAGCCAGAGTCCCCAATCAAAGCCAAGGGCCCGACAAAGTAGTAGCCCAAGCCGTCAGGGCCGACAATCAGCCAGGATCGTCCTGCCACAGCCACAACTCAAACCAAATAACCTCTCCATCTCTCAACGACCGGTCCATGAGCATCCTCCATCAGGATGAGGGCGGTTCCGAGCCACCGTCATCTGATGGTGCACCTGTGAAGGTCACACAGTCTGTGGACGGCATACCAGCTCGCCCTCACTTTGGGGGCTCAGGCGGTAGAGTATCAGAGGGCTGCAAGGCTGTTTTGGCCAGGCGCTCACTTAATAATCGCAGTGCATTTATTACACATCGTGCTGGCTAGAATGCTGCTTCACTCAGGCCTGGAGCATCACACACGATGATGCCAGGTGTCTGGCTTTCCGTTCAGTTGGCTTCGAGTGCATCGTTGTGTCACTCAGTTCCGAGGCCATGGCACAAGCAAGATAACGGCTCGTCGAATGGAGCAGGGACCACCAAGTCCTTACACGCGGGTCCCTTCTGGAGGACAATTCAAAAGCCTGGACAATTGTTAACGTGCTGAGTTGTCGGCATCTAAGTACCGGCATGGTGCTCCTGCCTCAACCAGGCGATTCAATAATAATTGCATTCAGCCAGCATCAGAAGCAGCAGTACGGCAGCGCCTCGATGACACAACTGCAATCAAAGGAAAGGCGAGGCTAGAGACCAAGCACCCTGCATCTCCTCCAATGCGATGAATCCAATGCCAAAGCTGGCCTCAATTGCACATCCACGCAATCTCAAACGAAGCTGCAGTGTCATAAAGCATGATCTCTCGAGATTATGATCATGCGCTAAAGTCTCCAACCCTGTAACCTTTCCAGGCTCATCTGCAGGGGTTCGGACTTTGTCAAGCTTATGCATTGCAGAATCCGGAGAGGGTCGGGCGGTTGACTAACTGAGATCTCGTCATTCCTTTATGGCATGGGGTTCCATTCACCGGAAGCTATGGCATCGCTCATGAATGAACATGGCTGACACAGTCGAACCATCGCATGGGTATGTTGAACGTCAGTCTGGTTGGGCGGGTGTGGGCCTGGGTTATTATGAAATGCGACTGCAGCACACATGTGCGAAGGTGCGAAACAATCTGCAGCACTTCAATTGGTTTGCAAGCCAGAGGGCAGAAATAAGCATCATCATCTTCCAAGGCCCTGGCATCGTCGCCCAAGGCACGGCCTGAGCGAAGCCAGACAAGGATAGCGGAAAGGCGAGGCAGTCTCAATCTCGCAGCAGATGCAATCTATCCCGGCCAAGATGTTGCGGATTTTATGCTGCCCCGCATGAAACCGTGGGCTCCCCACCCACACACACGTCTGAATGCGAAGGCGACTCTCAGCGCCTCAACTTTTCTAAGGCCTTCTCCAAGATTAAAATCGTCTGTTGAGCCTTCGCCAACTTCGGTTGAAGCTCTTGGAGTTTCCGCCGATCAGCCACCAGGTCGTCGTGATCTTTCACACAGCGGACCATATGATTGTAATCTTTCTGGGTGAGCCGCGGTCTGACCTCTTTGTTTCCAGCATCTTTCTGGACCAGATCTCGAAGCCGCTTCTGTCGAGCCTGCTCCTTACGACCCTTCGGCAGCTTCTCATCACTGAGGTCTAGGATGACACCGTCACCAGAGGATTCGGATTTCAGACTCTTGAAGGCTTTCACCGCCGGTGCAGCACACTCCGACTCTACGACAGCATCCATACCTCAGCTTAGCAGCTCTCACCCCTCATGCCCTGTGTGCTGCCCCACAACCTGCCCCAACACAGCATGAAAATGCATGTGCCATGCCCTGCATGCTCACGCAAAAGAAAATCAAACAATCTCTCTTCAAAGCAGCGGCGGGTGTCCAAAGGTTGCACAGGTTTGGCAGCTGGTAGAACGAGTGCACGATCAGAGTCACCTAAGTCTAAGGCTGCGAACCCAACGGAGAAGAGACTCGAATCATCTATTTTCTGTTTGCCGACAAGCTTCCCTCAGTGAGCCGCTCACTCTGCTGAGGATAACTCTTGGACCACGGGGACATGGCCCATCGACGAATCCTTCTAGGAGGGGTGAACATGCTGATCGGCTGCGGCATGACGAAACACCAATGGCCAAGCTTGCCAGGAGCAACTCCGAAGTTGAAGCATACCGCAAAGCATACCAAGCCCCAAGCCGAGCACAATCGAAGCCAGCAGCATCCGCCTCAGCAGGAGTTTGAGGGTTCCAGGTTTAAGGTTTTGGGTTTAGGGCTTCTCGCAGCGAAGGGGCATGCCGCCCCTACAACATGTCAGTCGTCACATGCCGCAGCTGCTACACAGCGCAGCTGCTACACAGCAAATGCAAGGCAACTCCAGGCGCATGGCTCCGTCCGTCATCGGTCCGCACCTGAGAGACATGTGCGTTTGCTTTGAATCCATATTCAGTCCGGGTTTTGGCATGTACCCGCCAGGAGGGCCCGGCGGGTACCCGCCAGGAGGGCCGGCGGGTACCCGCCAGGACGGCCGGCGGGTACCCGCCAGCGGGTGCCCGCCAGAACAGCGCGTCGGCGGTCCCGCCAGGAGGGCCCGGCGGGTACCCGCCAGGAGGGCCCGGCGGGGAGGGCCCGGCGGGTACCCGCCAGGAGGGCTCGACGATTACCCGCCAGGGGCCCGGCGGGTACCCGCCAAAAGGTTCCGGCGGGTACGCGCCAGGAGGTCCCGGCGGGAACCCGCCAGGAGGGCCCGGCGGGTACCCACCGATAATGCTTATTGTTGTTGTGAGTGACCAGCTGTCGGGTTCACAGCTTCACGACAGGACTGTCATAGTTCACTAAGGAGAACCACAAGGTTTCGGGTTTTGGAATCAAAGCTTGCTGCTTAAGGTTTAAGGTTTACGGTTTTAGGTATATAGAGGGTAAGCCAAGCGGCGGGTACCCGCCGGTGGGTACCCGCCGGCTGGGTCCTAACATGTACACTGACAAGAATCAGAAAGATTGCTTATAAAGCGCGAAACGAAGCATGCCACATGTGGTCCATGATCACTGAAACTGAATCCTAAACTGCCGCACAATCCGCACACCCAACCGCAACTGCCTCACACTCAGGCCACGGCGACTGAGCTGCAGGAAGGTCGAAATGCCGGGCCTGGGAAAGGGCAAGTTGACATGGAGCACATGAGGACAATGCCAACGTGCTGCTTCCAAGTGCACTGGCAATCACACTATTCCACCCCTCATGGCGACTAGGAAGCTAAAATGCGAAACGCATCCGCCAGTCGTGGACCCTGAAGTCATGCTGAGGTTTTGGGCTTGTAATTTTTGGCCCGATGATGGGCGGTGGTCACTACGGAGGCGGTGACGATCGTGGGAAGGGCTACGGCGCTGGCTGGAAGGGAGCTGCTATGGCTAGGGTTTAGGTCAGATTCCTGGGTCAAGGGTTGTACGATATTCTCTTAAACCCTGATTCCGAGTGTGAGCGCCGAAACCCTGTGCAGGGGCAGATCGACGACGAGCACCTTCAGGGCTCCGACCATCAACCGCCTGGATAGCCATCTGCTGGCCTCGCGCGAAGATATCGCTCACCAACACCACCAACAACTACACCTAGACCAGCAGCAGCAACAGAAGCAGCGTGCCGTGTGCTTCGTAATCATACTCATATACCAATCGTAATACTAATGCTTCAACTCATACTAGAACTACACTAATACAAATACAAATACTAATACTATCGCGAATACTAGAACTAACGCGAAAATTAATTCGAAGACAAATACCAATGCTTTTAACTAAAACTCATTTACTCATACTATTACGACTGCTGTTCTGCACAGGCTTTGGTCGTAGATTGAGGTTGAGGCTTCGGCCTCGAAAAGCTCATGATTCAGAGTTATCGGACTATGGGTCAGGCCGTCGTTCAGATTTAGGTTGGGATTTAAGGCAGCTGCACTTCTCATGTCCAGGACTTGGGATGCGAGCTCGGGGTGATTGACTCTGTAGCTGGGACTAAAGTGTGCTCAAGTCATACTCAAACTGTTTAGAGTTTAGGGGCTTTAGGGTTTAGGATGTAGTAGGGTGTTTAGGGTTTAGGATATAGCGGCTTGGGGTCTAGGGCTTTCAGGGCTCAGGGTTTAGAGTTTAGGGTTTAGGGATTAGGGTTCAGAATTTCAAGCGAAGCTCGCAAGCCTGAAGTAGGCCAAGAATCAGGCAACCAACCAAAATCGTCATGCATGCCAGAGCGAAGCTGGCTTGGCCAACTCTGGAAGTAATCATTATAATAGCAACCCTGGGCCCCTAGATGCATGAACCTTAAACCTGGTCGGGAACCCTACGCCCTGAAGCCCATAAACATAAACCCTCAACCCTTATGGCATCCCTCAAAGCAAGCCTTTCTCTGCAGCCCTATATCCAGGCTTCTTGTCCCCTGGCTACATTTCGAGGCTCCAGGTAGATAAGCCCAAGGTTTCTTAATCAGGTTCCTACATTAATATACTACCCTTCTAGATCCCTTATAGTACAGTGGACGCCAAAAAGTTGGAACATAGGCAGCCTGACATTCAGCACTCCATGAGCGAGCGCGTGCAAGTTCCAATTTTGGCATTATGTTCCAAAGTTGGAACATTCTGACTGATATGGACATCATTGTGCTTGGAGGTGGGGAGGCACCTCTGGGGGGTGGGGGGACGGGAAACAACCTAACCTAACCTAACCTAAACCCGCCCAGCTTCCCCTGATTAGGGGACCTAAACCCAATAAGAACGACTAAGGCTGGGCCCCTAAACCCGACCTAGCCCGCTTTCCCCTAAAATTTGGGGAGCAAGGCCCGAAACCCTATGCCGGGTTTCCCCTTCAAAATTGGGGACCTCGGCGAAACCCTATGCCTGGTTTCCCCCTTCGGGGGGCCTAGGCAGGTATGTCGTAAACCCTAAACCAAACCCTGAAACGAAACCACCCCCACACGCAAACCGCAACCCTACAAAACCGGGGGGGAGGGTGGAGGGGTGGGGGGAAGTTTGAGCCAGTCTATACACGCAGTTTGAGCCAGTTTATACACGTCTGTGAAACACACTTCTGTACAGAAACATGCCAGACAAGGCTGGAAAGCATTTTGGCCGGGGTGACATGAAAGCCTGGCTATCACCGAACACATCGGCGAAGCAGGTTGGTAAAATGATCCCTGCCTGCAAAGTCTAATCAGTGTATGGTATTCCTGCGCATACTGCAGTTGTGCACATGGTCGTCGGGCCCACGTACACGGATCTCTCTGCAATACTGGAGCCGTCGTAATAATCAATTGCAATTTCCTCGCTGCCATGCTGGAAGGGTCGCAATAAATACGGTTTCTATTTCAGCTTCTATCTCTGCAATACTGGAAAGGTCTAGTAGTTCCAGCTCCTCTCTTTCTGCAACACTGGAAGCGTCGCAATAATTGCAGTTTCTTTCTCTGCAATACTGGAGCGGTTGTAGTAATTGCAGTTTCTGTCTCTCTGCAACATTGGAACGGTCGCGGTAATTGCAGTTCCCTGTCTTTGCAACACTGGAGCGGTCGTAGTGACTGAAGTTTCTTACCGTTGAATTACTGGAGCGGTCGTAGCAATTGTAATTTCTCTTTCTCAGCAATACCGAAGCGGTCGTAGTATTTGCAGTTCCTCTCTCTCTCTCTCTGCAGTACATGTTCCAAGTTTCACTTTGGCGGGTTTCTGACCATGTTCCAACTTCAGCCTCCGAGATCAAAGTTGGAATCTGTGGCTTGGGGCCAGTTTACTCCTGTGGAAACGTTCCAACTTTCCGGCTTCCGCCATAACCCTTATAGACCCTTTTACCCTTTAACGGAACCCTAAGCCCTAAAACCCTAAACCCTACATTGGAGACTCCCCAAGGGTCCAAGTACGCAATAATCATATACTTTCCAAATCTTTACCTACATAACTACTATCCTAAAACCAAATACCTAACTATTGGGTCCTTTGGACCAATGGAGACTGTGGGAAGCCTCTGGTCGGCTCGAGAGTTCCGAGCTTTGTAGGGGAGTTTCCGAAAATTAGGGGTACCTTTTCTCGGGGTCCTTATATCAAGGATCCTACTATTTGCCCAGGGGCTCATGCCCTACCCCTTTCTTAGAGTGCCTACTTTGTAAGACAACAGATCCTAAACATAAAACAGTGTATTCCAAAAAAAGGGGTAGGGTATGAGCCTCCAGGTAGGGTACTATATTAGGGTCCCCTATTCTCGGAAACTCCCATATCATCTTCCGGCTCGTTTGGGGTTAGGATTTGTGCTCCATTGACCCTACCTACAGTCGCCATTTTGGCTCCTCTTTTTGGGGTTAACCATTTTATGCTTAGGATCCTATAATAGAGATTTTGATTATCCAACAAAAAGGAACAGTGGAGACTTTAGGTAAGGCTCCAAGTATACAAATACGGTTGGTGATATAAATCCTGAATTACCTTAAGGACCCTAAACTATGGCAATTATGGTATATTCCTTATTATGGGTCATGCAGGATTGATATCATCAACCGTAGTAGCGACCTTGGGGTCTAAAGTCTAGAAATACTACTGTACCTACTTTGGGCTTTTCGGGGCCCCTCGGGGTAAGGAAACCCACACGAGCAGGGCTGCCCACAGATCCGAGACCCTAAATCTGGACCTATTCTATGGTTTCGGATCCTCCAAACAACCCTAAGGATCCACGCGCTCAAATGGTATCTACATTGCCCTCAAAGTAGTCCGTATACACGTGCCACGGGGCCAAAGTGTATACTATTTGGGTACATTGACCATTAGGGTAATGTACGTTTTTTGTTGCTCCCGCCCTGCCCGCATGTTGGTGCTGGTGTTGGTGTTGTTACTGTGGTTGGTTGTTTTTGATTGTTGCTGCTGTTGTTGTTTTTGCTGGTGGAGGTGGTGGTGGTGGTGGTGGTGGTGGTGGTGGTGGTGGTGGTGGTGGTGGCGGTGGTGGTGGTGGTGGTGGTGGCGGGGGTGGTGGTGGTGTTGGTGGTGGTGGTAGTAGTAGTAGTAGTAGTCGTAGTAGTAGTAGTGGTAGTCTGAGGGGTTTTTGGTGTTAGGGTTTAGGGTTTTAGGGCTTAGGGTTTAGGC